CCTCTCCACCACTCCTCTAGGCTCCCAGACACTCAACACTGGGGTCTTTTCCAAGTGCCCTTACCCGCCCCCCACCCCCACACAACACACATCGCACACCAGAAATCCCACAGCCCTCTCAGCCAAACATCAGGCCCTGCTCACTGGGACCCTCAGTGGGGACCTAAAATGAGGAGTGGGGGGCTCCCTCGAATCCAAACCAAATGAAGCTCCGGGTCCCATCACTGATTGACGTGTGAGGCACCGACAGGGCCCCACTCTGTCCTTTCCTGGGAGCCAGCAAAGGAGCCCCTTTCTCTCACACAATTCTCCTGGGCCCGGTCCCTTAGGGGCACCAGAGACATGGGGCAGGGGGAAGGGGAGTGTATCCCATGCCCAGGACTGAGGCTGGTCTGTGTCTGGGGCCTGCGGGGTCCCCTTAGGTCTCTTAGCAGGGCTGTGGGGCACCGAGGCCCAGCAGACCACTCTGCACCCCGTCGTGGGCCGCGTCTTCGTGCACACCTTGGACCACGAAACCTTCCTGAGCCTTCCTGAGCACGTCGGTGAGAGGGCCTGATGGGCAGCGGCATGGGCTGGGGGCCCCTGGCCTGGGGCTGGTGAAAGCTCCTTGTGCCTCCAACCTCTTCTCTTCCCTTCCCCCAGCTCTCCCCCCCACCATCCCTGTCACCTACCATGCTCACCTCCAGGGACACCCAGACCTGCCTCGCTGGCTACGCTATACGCAGCGAAGCCCCCACCATCCTGGCTTCCTCTATGGTACTCCCACCCCGGAAGATCGTGGACGCCAGGTCATCGAGGTACCAGCAGGGACCCCAGGGGGCTGTGTCACATGTGGGTGTTGGTTCACGTTCATGCACATGATCCACATGCCCCTACTTAGGTAGTAGCTCAGTCCTCTCCTGCCAGGTCCCAGCTGTACCACTTTTCCCCCCTAACCCCACATCCGGGCCCTCTTCCCCGTCCCCTCCAGGTCACAGCCTACAACCGGGACAGCTTTGACACCACCCGGCAGAGGCTGGTGCTGTTGATTGGGGACCCAGAAGGTACTGCCTGTCCTGCCCCATCTGGAAGGGTGTTGTGTGTGGAAGGGGAGGCTTGGCGAGCAGTGGGATGCAGGGCATCCTGGGAAGCCTCTGCAGCTGTGTTCTTGGCTGTTCGGCGGACAGTCTGTGAGTGTTAAGGAAGGGTATTTGGGGCCTGTGATGTCCGGGGTGTTAGGAGGAAGGAAGAAGTCTGAGCGGATATAAGGAGGAACTTGAGTCAGAGGAGGCTTGGGAAGAATCCATGTAGGACTGGGTGCATCTTGAAGTGCCAACCTGGCCTTTCCAGGACCCCTGCTGCCATACCAGGCTGAGTTCCTGGTGCGCAGCCATGATGTGGAGGAGGTCCTGCCCTCAACACCTGCCAGCCGCTTCCTCATAGCTTTGGGGGGCCTCTGGGAGCCTGGGGAGTTCCAGCTGCTCAATATCACCTCTGCCTTGGACCGTGGGGGCCGTGTCCCTCTTCCCATCGAAGGTCGCAAGGAAGGGTAAGCATGCAACCCAGGAGGGCTTCCTGAAGGAGAAGGAGGCAGCTTGCCTTCTGTCTGGGTGGTGGGCATAGAACACAGGTCTCCCTAATTTCCAGGTAGGGCTTTACCCATCTTCGTGCTTCCGCACATGATTCTAGGTAGTTTTGCCAGACATCTTTGCTGTAAGCATTTTGACTGCAAGCATTTTACTGCAAACATTTTCACTGCATAACTAATTGGTCATAAGGCAATTTTGCTGTAAAAGATAAAAGAGCGAAAAAGAGGGACTTTAAAAAGGACATAATGAAACATGAAAAAAATAACAAAATAAGAGACTTTATTGCAAAAAAAATTAAAATACATTGTTTTCAAAGTATTTTCATATATATGTGTGTGTGTGTGGAGATATATATATATATATAGACACACATATATATATATATATATAGCTTGTTGATTCGTTTTGTTTGACATCACACTTTTTTTCTTTTCTGCTAAAATTCCTTCCTTCGTTAAGAGAGGTATCAGTTTCCAACTAAAGAATTGATAATTAATGCTCTCGAAAACTTGTGAATTAGTGGCTGCTTCTTTCATTTTGAGTAGCTTGGTAAACTTGGTTTTGACGGGTGAGAGGGATGACTGTGCTCACTGAAGGATTTGTCAACAGATATGATCATTTTCTAGTAGAGTACGCAATCTGGCTTTACACGTAGTTGTTATTATCCATTATTTTCAGACCACAGCATCTACTCAGCACGGTATAGACCATTATGAGGGTTAAGATTTAAATAATGTAAAACAGTAGTACTGTGAGGACTTTGTCAATGGAGAAATGAAAACACTGGCCACCCTTTCATCTCCTTCTTGCCCTTCCTGCACCCAAATCCTTGTCATCCTAAACTCCACATTTCCTGTGCCCCTTGAGGGCATTGAAGGTCCAGCCTTCAGAGGACATTCCTGGGGAAATAAGACTCCCCACCCCCGCCCCAGGACTGGGCTGTCCTGCATCCTCTCACCGTAACTCCAGATCTCAGGGGACCCCTGTAACCTCCAAATTGCCAGCATTCAGTGATGCCCTCCCAATTTGCTGACAGTGGCTTCTATCTGGGCCCAGGGTGTACATCAAAGTGGGCTCTGCCTCACCCTTCTCCACCTGCCTGAAGATGGTGGCGTCTCCCGACAGCCATGCTCGCTGTGCCCAGGACCAGCCTCCACTTCTGTCCTGCTATGACACCTTGGCACCTCACTTCCGTGTTGACTGGTGCAATGTGTCTCTGGTGAGGAGGGACCCTGGCTCTAGGGTGGGGATGGGGCATGGCTCCCATCACAGTGTCCTCCCTCCCCCTTCCCATCCCAGTCCCTCTATTTCTTTCTCTGATTATCTCCATCCTCTCTTTTTCCTGCAACCCACACACAAGTTCCATTTTCTCCCACAAGAGGGCGACAGAGTCCACAACCCAGGCGAGGGCTCTTCTGGCGCCTCAAGTCCCCAAAGTGCCCGACCTAACAGCTAGAAAAATCACTTCCACGGAGCCGTTCCAAAACCTTGATTTTGCCAAGGTGTCATAGCTCTGTCAGCTTTCTTCTAAGGTGTCACCTAGCTCATCCGCCTGCGGTAACGAACAGATAGCTGTTCGTTATAAACCAGAAATGTTTACCACTGCTCTTTGGTGACTGAGCTGAGGTATCCAGGGTCCCTAGTGTACCCTGTTCCTGTGAACTGACCAACAGCACAGCCAGGGACTGGTAATCGACAACAGTCTTGAGCACTTGCTAAGTGCTGGGCACTATACATTTAACCCGTTTTATCCTTATGACCACCCCAGGAGACAGGTACCACTATTAGCATTCTGACTTTACAGGCAAGGAAACTGAGACACCAAGAGGCAAGTCATCCCAGCGACCTGCGTGTCCGAGTCAGGATTCAAACTTAGGCAGTCGGTCCATAGAGCTGTGCTCTAACCATTCTATGGTCCTGCCTCTCTGAGAATTTCTCTCCTGGCTCTTAGTCCAGTGCTTATCCTGCTTGGTCACCTGAGCTGGGAGAGGCAGGCAGGAGGAGAGCCTGTGGTTGCATGAGGTGGTAGGAAGTGGTGCCCCAGCCCCCCTGCCCTGTCCCCCTGGGGGTCTCTGTCCAGCCAGCGGCTCCTGAGTCAGCCCTGGGTTCTCTGAGCAGGTGGATAAATCGGTGCCAGAGCCCGCAGATGAGGTGCCCACTCCAGGGGATGGGATCCTGGAGCATGACCCGTTCTTCTGCCCACCCACTGAGGCCACAGCCCGAGACTTCCTGACCAGTGCGCTGGTCACCCTCCTGGTACCTCTGCTGGTGGCCCTGTTGCTCACCCTACTGCTGGCCTACATCATGTGCTGCCGGCGGGAGGGACGGTGAGTGTGGGGACAGAGGACAGGGACGGCAGTGTGGTTGGTGCTCAACCTGTGGTACTTTTTGTGACGCTTGTGCTGTGTGGGGACCCAGACCTCCTCGGGGAGTGGGGTACTCAGCGAGGAAAAAGGTGGGGGCCGCTTTCTAGGTGGCTCAGGGCTCAGGTTCTGCCTGGCACCGGGAGGGGATTGTGGATAACAGTTAATCCCTCCTTTTGTTTTTCTGCAGGCTGAAGAGAGATCTGGCCACCTCTGAGTGAGTAAGGGAAAGCTGGGGGTGGGGTAGGGGCCCCCCACACTGTCACGCTGGACTCTTTAACCTCCATGAGCAGCATAGACCAACCAGATTGCTGGGATGATAGGGGCCACCCTTGGCCTCTGAACTCCAGCCCTGGGCCGGCTCGATGCTGGGCATAACTTATCTCGGCCTGGCCTTCCCATTTTTTAGTCTCTGTGGAAGAGCCTAAGATGAGACGGGACAGGGGAGGGGAACTGACCAGGCGTCAGGGGTCTACTGCCAGTCTCGGGGAAAGGATTTGAGGAGCAACTTAAGAGCCTTTCGACACACACAAACCCACACACACTTCACTGTGAGTCAGGCGCTTGGTTTTCTGTCCTGACTCACAGTTGGGTTCTGCCACCCAATTACTGTGACCCTGTCTGGCCTCGGTTTCTCCACCTGTGATGAAGTTGGACTAGCTAATGCCTGTGGACGTTTTCAATTTCCCCAGCCCTTCCCAAATCCATGTCACCCTTAGTTTGCCCAGGTGTCCCGCACCCCTGGCCTTATCCCTCCTCTGTGCCCCAGCCGCTTCCTTCCCCACTTCCTCCAACCCCAGAGATTCCAGAAGGCAGGTGTTAAATAAGTTAGGCTCCTTTTATTCTCACTGCACTGAGCCTGTGGCGGGCCTGGCCCCTCTGCCTGCTTGCCAGGCCTGCCTCATTAATTGCGGCGACATTTGGCCACTCTGCGTGCCCCCTTGATCAGCCGCTTATGTCCCTGTTTGGAGCTCAGGGGCAGCCTGTGCTGCCCGGACCGGCGCCGCCCGGACCGGCGCTGCCCGGACCGGCGCCGCCCAGGCTGGTGCTGCTGCTTCTGCAGCCGTCTCTTGGCCTTGGGCTTGAACTTGGAGGCGAACTTCTTGCCCATGCGGAAGGAGCCCAGTGTGCCCCTGCCAGTCACCTGCTTGAGCATGCCTTTGTCCACTAGCCCCTTGAGTATTTTCTTGAGGCGCCAGGCGTTGCGGGTCATGTTGTAGCCCGTGGCGATCAGAGCGTTCTTCAGGGTGTTCAGGGACACGCGGTTGTGTTCCCCCTTGTCTGCCATAACCCTCAGGATCACCTTGGATATGCTGGGCTTCCGGTGGGCTTTGGGGCAGGCGCGGTGCCCAGTCTCACTCTTGCTAGGGACTCCTGACATGCTGGCCTGCCGGCCTGCACCCAGGACACTCTTCGAGGCCGAGGGTGTAGATGGCGGTGGTAGCAAAGTATCTTTCTGCATCTCTCCCTGGGGTGGGTGAAGGGAACTGGGTGCAAGGGCCTCCAGGATGGCGGCTGGAAGTCTCCACTGGGTTGTTTCTCGGTGGATAAGGTGCCTCCCAGTTCCTGGTTTCCCTCAGAGGCTTCCTCGTAGGGCTCTAGCCAGGAGGAGGACCAAGGATGATCACCCACTCTGGCCTCCACAGACTTGTGCCTTGGGTGCAGGGGGTGGTAAGATTATCTCTGTGGTGACCTCAGGGGGACATTGTGAGGCCACTAGAATCCTGTGAGGGTCACAGTGGCCCCATTGTTCCCTCCTGGGAGGGGTAGATAGGAGATACCAGATAGCCTGGGCATCTGACATGCTGGGTACCCTGAGAATAAGTGGCTGTGTGGGCCCAGTGTGGGGGGTCCACAGGTGTGTGCGTGCCTATGCGTTTGCATATATGCATGAGTGCCCACCCATTCCAAGGTGTTCTGAGACCCCAGTTTTAAACCCATCATTGTTACCCCACCATCTCAACCCACTGGGTTGAGGAGTAGAAACATTTTTAGAATCGGAATTATACCAACATTTATGAATTTTTAAGGGGAATAAATTTCCAGAGTGAATAGAATGTAATTCCTTCATCTACCTAAGTTGATTTAATTCCTTGATCAACTTTCTATACAAAGCAACGAATGGACTTTTTCCCGCCTATTTTCATTTTTATTTATTGGAACTTTTTTCTCATGAGGAATCAGTGGTTTTCTATGTAAACTTTACAACGGGGATTTTATTCCTCAAGCTTTTTGGCCTGTGCCAAATTTGACCAATCATATCTTCTTCCACTGTGACTGTGGATATTCTCTTCTGACCAGTTATTTTCAGCACATCCAGCTTTCTTGAGTCAGTTTTGCAGTTCTGATGGTGTCGGGAAAATCTGCTTCCTCCCTCAATTTTGAATCAACAATCGTTTTTACCATGTGCGATATTAGCCCTCGTTGGTTTGGATTTTGTGTTGATTTATTTCTGTAAGGTGTTCCTTCCTTCCTTCCTTCCTTCCTTCCTTCCTTCCTTCCTTCCTTGCTTTTTTGCTTTCCAATGCCTACCATTTTCAAATTGTCCACAGCTTGTGATTCTGCGGCTCTCTTTTCACCTTGTCAGATTTTACTGGTTGGGTAGTCATGCGGCCACAGCGGCCATC